CCCCCCCCCCCCCCGCCCCCTTGGAATTGATTTTTCAATACAGACCCCCCCCTCTAAATTCAAGTCTCTCCTGGAGAACGTCTTCGTGAGCCTCTCATGATTTCAGGATAGTTGAAACCCTCTTGAACATTCAGAAAGAGTGCATAATCACGAAAGGTGTTCCTGGAGGGGATACATACCTAGAGTTTGTTTTGTGAAGCACGTCAATTCTCTCCTGGGGAACGTCTTCGTGAGCCTCTTACGGTTTCAGGATAGTTCAAATCCTATGATGCTCCGATTCAATGCTCACCGATGATCTGAGCTATGGGGCAAGTTTCTTTTCCTCAGAATCTTTTTGAACATTTCGAGAGCATATGTTTGAACATTTAGAGTATATGAATATATATTTACGACAGGTCGCCTCCGAGGGGATAAATCACCATGTCGAACATTGCATTTTTGTTCCTGCCTCTCGCGTTCTCTTCTCTTCCCGCTGTCCTACCTTTCGTGTCTCCCTCCTCTCAAGTTGCGTTTCCATGCGGGAAACTTGTTTTTGCAAGGACTATGCCGGGACCCCCTTCCTGGCGTCGCGTTTCCATTAAGAAACACAAGTTTTTTTCTACTATGCCGTGACTTCCGCGGCTGAGTGTAATGTGCAATAGATTTTTTGTCCATATCTATGTACACACACATATATATATATATATGCATATATATACTTATATATATTTACACCTTCTTTGTTTGTCTAAGATTTGATGTTGTTTTTCCAGCTGTCTCTCTACTTGTCTCAAAGTGGTGCAGTCACAGTTGGAACTGCAGCCAGGATTTTCTATCCACATGACGTTCGAGTTTGGGTCCAGACCGCGAATTCCGATTCTCAATGAGAATGCGAATGCAAGGTGTAAGACTTAGTAGAATAATTCTAGGCAATAGACTGTAGCCAGACCAGCCGGGCCCATTACAGTAGGTGTACTGTCTGCAGTTCGATCAGATTCTGACATTTCCACTGGGCTTATGTGCTCAGTCCAGCTCTATTTTCAGTGTAGGTTTCCAATGTTGTTGGCATTCTGATAGTTTCCCTTCGAAGTTTTTGCTGACTTGGAAGCACTGGGTAATTTGTTGTTTTGCATTTTGATGTTTTGCCATGCTTGCCGTTCTAGCCAGGCGCATCCGAGCGGCAGGACGTTTGTGTTCATAGTGTTGTAGATGTTGTTGGCATATTGTGATCCGAAAACCAGAGCAACGTCAAGATCAAAGATGACATTGCACCTTCCATGATTGAGTACAAGGATAGGCGAGAATCCGCACGGACCTCCCAACAATCTCATGCCATTTGTCCAGCAGGCAAAGGCCGCATGTGCAATGCACTCATCAGAACACCTTCTCAGCAGGTGGCAGTGGGCCGAAGAGAGTGCCTCAGCGTGTTTGGGTCAGAATCTGAAGAGATTGGAAGATATCGAACGCTTGTGAGACAAATGTTTGTTGCGCCGCTCAACTCAGGAATGATTACCCAACCCCAGACGGCACTGGCGTGCGTGCAAGAGCCTCTTGCTGCCGGCAATTGCTTTTGAAAAGTGCAGTTGAGTTTGAATTGGCAAAGGAATTATAAAGCCCGCAGCAAGTTTCCAAGGACTACATCCATGTGGATGAACTTGCGGAGGGTCACATTTGTGCCCTAGAGAAGGCATCTCTGAGTCATTGAACTTCTGACACTTTGCGCAGCAGCTGGCTGCTATAGAGTAACTCATTTCAACTTGTCACATTCTGACTATATATATATATATATACACTGATGTTATTTTTCATCTGGCAGCTCTTCACAATGGATGGTGGCTGCATTATCCACAACCTTGGCTCTGGCACTGGCTATTCAGCTCTTGACTGAGATATGGGGGGCGGGTTCTTCAAGTTACTATACTATACACATGTGTCACATACTATACTATCATACTATACTATCAAGCTCTTTTGAGTCACTGAGGTCCTTGAAATGGTCAAAGCCTTTGAGGCATGAGAAATCCCAAAGCACATGTTGGTCTCATGGATTGAGCTTGGGAGAGCCCTTGAGTTGTTGACCAGGTCGACCACGCACAATTTTTCCAACTTCTCAAGTTACTTATGTTGACAAACACGGAAGGAAGCCTGTGGAAAGAAGATTGCCTACAAGGCCACGCAGCTTTGATGCTCTTGAAGTAGATGTGACGTGATGTGACAATTTTTTTTGTTCATGCAGGCATCTTTAATTAGCATGTGTTCTGTGAATGTGTGAAATAGGTGGGGCGTGGCGGAGTGCTCACTAGTGTGGTCACTATCAGCAGCTCGTTCATTCGGGTTACTTGGGGATCCAAGCTCGCAAGCGTTCGGTTTCACGCTAGGTTTTTGTGGCTGTTGTTCTGGTTTGCTGTGGTCCCTGCTTCTGATCTCCCATTTTGCCTCTTTTCATGCCACTTGCTCAGAGTCACGCCAACTGTGCTGGGCTCGGTTCACAATGGACGAGGTTACTTGGGGATCGCAACGAGGTTTTCCTTCAAACATTGGAGCCCACCCAGTTCCAGCACTGCCAACCACTTGTGGTGCTTAACGATTATATAAACTATATATGCAATTTCTTCTGGCAGATTGTGGATCGAAGACCGGGTGACCTTGGCACGGTGATTGCAAATGCTGCCAAGGCGAGGAACAAAGTTGGTCAAGTGTAACAGTGAAATCAACACGTGTGTACTTTTTACGAGCACTCGTATAGATTCATTCTGCTGTGAATTCTATCTCATGGAGCCTTGAGAGAATGCATTGTTCAGGCAAAAGCAGATTTTGGGTGGCAAACGAAGCGAGGCTTGAAGGAGATGGCTTGTTGGATTACCTCCAAAGTTTTATCAACAGGAATGGAAGGTGTGCAAGCAGATGTACGGGTACTGTTGAATTTAGTAATTCAGTGCGAGGAGATGTGCGAGAGTGCTTGGAAATGGCAGTCCAACAACCCATATGGGTATGAAGATGGCCCTGGCAAGGAACTGTGTGCATTAGCGTTATGCAAGCGAAAGTGAGTCGTTTCAATTCATGTTCATCCTTGGAAGTTGACAACCTTTTGTTATTCGTCGCTCTGCTTCAAATCCAACGGCGAAGTTGCAGAAGAGAGGTTTAGAGTCTAGACACGTTTACATCGTTTACACACTTGCTGTCAATGTCTCTGGTGCCTTGCTGTCATTGTGTGGCAAGACTTTTCTCTTCAGCCAGGCTGCCACATATTTGGGCTCAGGAAGGTACTTAATATAGCAGCATTCCCCCCTGGTGTGCCGTGGTGCCGATTTCAATCCAGGCTGCAGCCTGGACACTGAAGCCTGTGTGAGGGCCAGAGGCAAGACACTCAATGCAGGTGAAGCCGATGGCAATGCAACGCCGCCGCCGCGGTCGCGCGACAGCGCCAAGCAGTGCTCAGGCCAAGGGCCCAGACTGCGACTAGACTATCCAACGGCCAAGCGTGGCCAAGAGTCTGCTTGGAGTTTTAGAGCACGCCCGGGACAATTTGCACCAAGACAATCACGCTTCGGAGATATCAAGCACTCGCATGCTGACTTGAGTTGTGGCACCACATGATTCATTTTTGGAAACACTTCTCTGTGGGCTCAGGCATTACTTGGCATTGCTGCAGCCGCACTTTTGCTTGTGGCTGTGGCAAGCGATGCCTTTGTCACGGCTGGGCTTCAAGTGGTCCAGATTCTAAGCACACTCATTTAGGAAATGCAAACGCACAATATATATATATATATATGTGATATAATATATATTATATAGTATATATATAATATTGCTATATATACACAAAAAGGAACTTGTTTGTGCATTGACCTTTGTCTTCCCCCACCGGTGTCTCAGGCTGTTCCACTCGCTTAGAGCCTTTTTGCATTCTTTTTTACTGCTTCCCGGTTAACGGTTAACTTTGCTTGAGGTGTTGAGAAGTATAGGCCGCATGCTGAAAGTTCTGCTATGTAGTTAGATCTGATTGTTGAATGTACTTGATACTCGATCAAATTTCCTGCCCTCCTGCGCCACGCCTCTACCATCATCTCCTCTTTTGCAAGGAATGTAAGATTGTAAGATCGCTGATTCCTTCATCGTGAAACAGTGTTGCTTCATATCACTACGCGTACTTCACCATCGAAACAGACTTGACTAGACCCACAAACGGAGGAGAATCGATTTCCAAAAGACCTTCCGGAAGTGACAGCCCTTTGCCCAGGCTGCGCAACCTTCTTTGACTCAGAACGCAGGACCAGTGTCCCGTGTGCTGGAATCTTAGATGTAATTCGCACCTCAGTACTGTACCAGTATGCTTTTGTAAAGCAAGTGGGCCTTGTAGGCAAGAGTATATCATCGCAGCAGTTTGTTTTGTCATTACAGCAGATTCTGTTCGAGCCTGACCTTTTGCTCATATGAAGCTTGTCAAGGCTCAATCGCACGACGAGGCCTCTTGGACTGCAAGCAAAGGTCCCACCCAACCCGGGCAATCTCAGACTGTGTCACTTGTTTCCCTTCTGCTTGAAGATAACCTGCCGCTGTCCAATCCTTTTGAACCTTGACATTCCTTTGATTGATGCCCCGCAAAACAGAACTTGGACTTATCATGACCTCTCTGACACGTTGTGTCATCGTTAAGGTTGTCACAGTACATAATAATCCAGGAGTATATAGATAGAATATCGAACATGTCAACATGTCCTATATCATCTAATTACTCTGGCTGGGCCAGGAATAGTAGAACGATTTGCGTGTCATATGTGCTGAACAGTATAGATTATTGTAAATGCTCATTGAATTGATGCAGAGGGGTAGTTTTTGAAACCACTGTGACTTAATAACTTACCATGGAATGTGTGTGTGTAAACCGCTATCACAAGCGGATGTTCAGAATAGATTGCATGACAATAGAGCATAGAGCTTCGAGTGGTCTAATAGCAGGGGGCATGGCAGCTGTTTCCCTAGCCATGCCAACGAAGCTAAGGGATTCAGCCGGAAGGGAATGTGGATGCACATTCCTGTACCTGCTTTTCGAACCATGTTTGAACAATAGTTGACACTCTAATCGATCAGGCTGTTGCAGGTTCATCAGGTTGAGTTCTTACACGTCTGTGACGGTGTCGCCTTGTACTTACCTCTATTTAAGGTTGTGGACTCAGGAGGTCCCTACAGTTCCACCACCCAAAATCACTTCTCAGTGTGAGTAGGGTGCGTGCCAGCTCTGGCGACACCGTCGAGCACCTACGGGTGGCTCTAAAGATGGCAGGGGCCTTCCCAGTTGCAGTCAATATATACCCCTTGCTGAGGGTATGTTGAACCCAGAGCTTCCACTGGGAAGTTTTGAGCTGCCAGCGGGCACAATCACAAATTCGCAGTTCTTATGAGCCGTTCTGGAGCTGGCGTAATGGCCTCCAACTTGTTGGTTCTTGCCGTTTGTGTGTTGAGTCTCGAATTCGTAGCGATGACCCCTCCCCTTGGCTCAATGGCCTCCAACGCACTAGCGATAGCCCCTAACTTTTGTGTTGCCTGTTGAGCCATTTGACGACATTCAACCCGGTAATGCAGGCAACCTCCTAGTGATGACCTACAACGTTGCAGTTCTGAGTTTCGACTTGCAAGAAGCAAGCTCTGACCCCTCCATAGAGGGCCTTGACTTTGTGAGACTGCAAGCACATGATGTTACTGTCACATTCCGCTATCAGGGCGGCTTTGGAGCGTTTGAACTCTGCTCGATCGAGGAACACTTGACTACCAAGGAACTTTATCCTGCTTACTTAGGTTCAAAAACTCTGTTGGACTAAGGCGTTCTCAACACTCCAGTTTACAATCTACTCCTGCCTCCTTAGGCTTTCATGCCGAGGTGGGCGTGTGGCAGTGGCTTTCAATGAAAGCCACCATGCATTTCCCAAGTGTGTTTGGCCTCACGCCAGCCCAGGGTGTACCCGAAGAGTGTGCCCTGTGGCCGCGCTGAGCGGGGGTTTGTCTACGTCCCTCTCAGTCAGCGAGCGTAGGAGGCTTACGCCAAACGCCAGTTAAGACTTGTCGACTTGGAATGCCATAAGTAGCCCACAGCGGGCCAGAGCAGCCAGCCATTTTCGGCGGTCATAGTTCTGTCGGCCCATTGGGGCCCGTCCAAACCATATTCCCCCTCCTCTCTCCCCCTCTCCCTCTCCCTTCTTCTTTTGCCTTGTTGGGGCATCCTGGATCTAATGCCCAGGCCGCCCCCTCTCCTTGGTGTGACATCTGTCCCTTTTGGTTCATTTTTTGTTTCTTCTCTTATGGGCACCCCTGGATGCAATATCCAGGCACCCCATTTTTGGTGTGTTCCTGGACTTGTTTGTTGTAGCTGGGAACACACGTCTGTTCCTTCTTCCTGTCCCCTTCTCTCAGAACTCTTCCTTTTTCGATTTTCTTTTCGGGCGTCCCTGGATGCTTGTGTCATAGCTGGGAACCCTTCTTCTTTTTGGGTGCGCCCTTAGATTATCCTTTCTGTTGTCCGTCCCCTCCCTCCCCTGTGCGCAGCTAGGTTACAAACAATCAAGGGGTTTGCAGCAGGTCTTTCAGGAGGTTCGGCTGCTCATCGGCTCTGGTTCCTTCCTCATTGCCCCCTCACACACCGTCTCCCTCTTTTCTTTCACGTTCTTTCTGTCTTCGCGCCCTGTCGTCTTCACCCTTTCTTCTTTTGCGCGCACTTCTGTCTGGACATTAGGTTGTGCACACGCGCGCGTGGCATAGGTGCCCCAGGTTCGCTTCAATGAGATTTGGTTCACCCGTCCCTTGTCACTTCGTTTTTTCTTTATCGGCGACCACACAATTTCATCTTGTCTCGTCCTCCTTTCATGTCTTCTCTTTTGTCTCTCTTGCATGCACACGTGCGCGTGAGCCGGTTCCCCTAGTCTTCCTTTGTCTCCCTTCGGGGAGGCGTGTGTGCGAAACCCTTGGAGTCAACGGGAACCTTTCGGTTTTCTGAGCAGGGGCGCGCAGCGTCTGTGATCTACTGCGCGCCTATGATCACAGATGGGAAGGGATCAAGGACACTTGATCCTGCACCGGCTTGAGAATGCACTGACTCCACTGGTCCTCCCTTGCTTTCAGGCTGTTTCAGGTGGAGGTAGGTCGGCAGACTCTGCGCGTTGTCGCCTTTCTTGTCGACCGCTCGCTCGGCTCGGAACTTTGTGGATTCTTAGGCTTTCATACCTAGGTGGGCGTGTGGCACTGGCATTCAATTCAGTACGCACTTCCCGAGTATGTGTTATCCTAGCTTCTATAGATTTGTTAGGCGAACCCAAACATGAAGTTGCAGGCCTGTAGTTTTGGAATACTGTAAATGTAGGAAAGGTGCCAACCAGCGCGCGCTTCGAGAGTCAAGAGCACAAATTTGTCCGTGGGGCCACTGGAAAAGGATTTTCAAAAACGTACCTTGAGGGATACAGGTTTTGAGTGGTTTTGACAGAGCCATTCCAAAGCTTTACCAGAAGAGGACTTGTAACGGGAACAGCATAGAAACTCCCTTAAAAAGGTTGAGGACCAAATAAGGGTGGACTCTGATATTTTTCGGGTGATACTCAACTCGATTGCCAACTTTGGCAGTGCCCTCCTTTTGTTCAATCTCTGTTTTTGGAGCCTTTGTTCAATGCTTGAAATGTGCCTTCTTGAGACGCCAGTTTTATGGCTTGCCTTGAGTGTGATCCCTGACTGACAGGGCACCCGCGCAGGAGCAGGTGGAGCTCGGAAGAACAAACACTCAGCTACAAAACACGTTTGTACTACTTGTGTTGCGTTAGTTGGGCAGGTTGTGCAAAGCTACATGAAACATTCTGTTGTCAGACAATCAACTTCCTCCGCGCTGCTGCGGCCACGACGTTGATGTGCCTGAGCCTTTGTCTCTCTTTCTCTATATTGTTTTGACTTCCGCTGTAGTCTCATTATATATTATATGCATTCGTCCGACTGTAGACTTCAAGGAAATTGCAAGTGCTTGAATTGTTCTTGT